CTCCTGCACCATTTTCATTCAGGGCATACTTTACTTTGTTTTTTATTACTGTACATCAATTTTGTTTTAATTAAATACATTAAAAATAAAATAACTTAAATTTAATGGCTGTTTGGGATATTTTTACATCTTTAACAAGAATTTAAGGTCCTATTAAGTCTCAATATTTTTCAGGATGCTCGTCACGCTGCAGAAGGAGAAATTTACACCAAACTGAACCAAAAAATAGATGAGTTTATCCAGCTAGCTGATTATGAGTGGGACATGTCAGAGTCAGACGGCCGTGCCTCAGGATACCTCATGGACCTGATCAACTTCCTTCGCTCCACTTTTCAGGTCTTCACACACCTTCCGGTGAGTTTTATCAGTTCACTAACAGGGAGCTGCTGCTCATGGGTTAGGGTGTTTTTATTTCCTTTTTGCTTGTCTAAATGGTGTGTTTCTCTGTCGATCTCTTTGTTGGTTGTGCTTTTGTCAAATTCACTCTGCTTCTTGTTTTTTATTTTTATTTTATGTGTTCATAAAAACCTTTAAATATTAGGTACTGTGTAAGGTGAACTGGTTTAAACATAATATGCTGACTGTGCTGTCTTGGTGATGTGTTCATGTGCTTGGTAATTATGTTTTCATGAACATCAGGGTTTGTGAAGCAGGATGTGAGGGGAGTGACCACCATCAGCACCAGTATGTTTAGTCCATTGTCTGGTCAGGCCTTCTGTTCTTTCCAGCCTTGCTTGTCAGTGAGCTCCAGCTAAATTGTGTGGATGTTTTATTATTTATTTATTCATTTATTGATTTAATTATCATCTGCCTCCCTGTTCACACCTTCTGTAATGAGCAGGGCTGTAGCTGGTTTGTTTTACTCCTTGATTAATTAGAATTTATTAGACATCCAAGATGAACATTAGCTGAATTTTCTTCCTCCTGTCCATTTATTGTTGGCACATTTTTTTCTGTCTTTCCTTCCCTTCCCTTCCCTTCCTTCTTCCCTTCCTTCTTCCCTTCCCTTCCTTCTTCCCTTCCCTTCCNCTTCCCTTCCCTTCCTTCTTCCCTTCCCTTCCTTCTTCCCTTCCCTTCCCTTCCTTCTTCCCTTCCCTTCCTTCTTCCCTTCCCTTCCCACCCCACCCCACCCCACAACCCTCTTTCTTCCATTTTTGTTTTGTTTGGGGTTTTCTGCTCAGAATAACAACAATGACCATGCATCAATGTCGGTGAGTACTCCTGCCTGGACTTTTTACCAGTTTGCTACAATGTAGGCAGTGAGAACATGAAATGCATGCTTATGTTTGACTGTTAAAAGCTCTAATAAGCCTGTAGGTCTACTGGCACCCTGACTTGTGACACTCATGGACATCAGTAAAGTTTGTGTATCCTGCAAAATAGCTTTTTATGAAAGGGGCACATGGGATGAGAGAAGACCAACAGACATTGAGAAAATTAAAAAAATAAGGTAATTCAATAAAATCTTTTCAGCTCTAGTTCATCTAACGCTGCTAGAGTCTTCCTCAGTTTTTCAAATTCTCTTGAAAGGCGTAGACCACGACTTCCTTTGTGCTACAGTGGGTTGCAAAAGTTGGTTTTTTTTTGGTTACATCTTTTTATTTACACATCATTAGGACCACTTTGAAGCTCCATTTATTTATTTTTTACTGAGACATGGGGAGCTGGTGCTTGTTTCCAGAGACCATTGGAAAGGCAGGGGGCCTCCTGGAGAGTTCATCACCTCCAACCTTTATTAAGCCGGGTACACACCAAATGTGTTTGGAGCAGCCAAAGCAGCCAGTTTACATGCAAAGTCTATGGTGGACGCGCATCTTGGAGCAGCGCAGCACGTAGTGGCGCGTTTTGCCAGTTGAGAGCAGAGCACAACATGCGGCAGCTGCAAAGCAGCGGCTGCTAAAGTTCAACAAATTGAACTTTGGCTGCTTGCTGTGCAGCAGCAATCAAACGGGAGAGAATATTTTTTTCACGTGACGGTTTCATGAACCAGACCCAGACTGACAGGAGCCTTTTTAGCTGAAATCGACAGTCTGCAGTTGGTGTTGTAGCTGGAGAGATCAGCAGCGATGTGATGAGACAGCAGCTCGCTGAGCTCGGGACAAAAATAAGTCGCTCAGCTCGCAGTTCCTGGAGTGGTGAAACTTTAGTAAATAAA